CAGCAACCTCCAACTCCTGGGCTCAAGCGAGTCTCCTGCCTCCGCCTCCCAAGTAGCTGGGACCACAGGCGCCCGCCACAACACCCCGCTATTTTTTGGTTGCAGCCGTCATTGTTGTTTGGCGGGCACGGGCTGGGTATTCGAACCCGCCACCTTAGGTGTACGTGGCTGGCACCTTAGCCGTTTGAGCTATAGGCGCCGAGCCCGCTTCCCTGGGCTCTTACTAGCCCCAGATCATAATTTTTAAATGAAGAAACCAGAGCCCAGAAAGGTGGGATGACTTACCCAAGCCCGTGTTATTATCTTGAGAAAATGACAAAAAAGAAACATCATACCTAGAATCAAGAGCAGCTCCTGAGCCCTTCCAAGAGCAAAGACAGGAATGAGACCTCTGCCCCCTCTATTTACAATATCATGGACAGTGTTACAGAATCTTGCTTCTCGCTCTTCACGTTTCTCATGGATGTGGGTCCCATAAGTAGATTCCTAAGTAACACATCAGAACTGTGAGACTAAGACAGGAATTTGAAAGTTTAACATCAATGAAATGCTAAAGTAAAGTATGTAATTCATTTCTCCATTTAAATACCATTTACCTGAACACATATTATTATATTACTTGGAAAGAAGACCAAACAAGAGTGCTATAATTCTGGGAGGCACCTGTAGCTCAAAGGAGTAGGGCGCCGGCCCCATATGCCAAAGGTGGTGGGTTCAAACCCAGCCCCGGCCAAAAACCACCAAAAAAAAAAAAGAGTGCAAGAATTCAGATCTAAGTAGTAAGGCCTTTTTAGAAAATGAAACCAGGAAGTAGCCTAAGAATTATCTTCTCCCCTATGTCATTATTATTATGTTTAAACTATTTTACTTCCCATGGGGATAGAGGGAAGGATATTTCTCCCACCTCTGATTAAAAACTGATTAAGTCAGTTTTTAATTCAGAAATATTGTTTCTTATACTTCTGTTTCAGAATATCACTTAAAGCCTTACTGTGTATGGCCCACTGACCAACAGCACCGGCATTTCTGGGGAAATTGTTAGAAGTGCAGACTCTCAGGCCCCAGCCCAGGCTTACAAATCAGAACCTGTATTTTAACAATATCACGAGAGGATTCCTAAGCACGTTAAAGTTTTAAGAAGCACTACTATAAAGTGAAATAACATAATATCATGAAAATAACAACTTTTTCTGAGGGTTAAACAAATAAATCTTGGCTAGGTGCACTGGCTCATGCCTGTAATCCCAGCACTTTGAGAAGCTGAGGTGGGAGGATCACCTGAGGTCAGGAGTCCATTGTCTGTACAAAAAAAGTTAAAATTTAGCCAGGTGTTGTGGCACTGCCTATAAGTTCCAACTACTTGGGAAGCTGAGGTGAGATTGCTTGAGCCCAGGAGTTTGAGGTTGCAGTGAGCTATGATCATGATTATGTCACCGCATTGCAGCTTGGATGACAGAGAGACCCCCTGTCTCAAAAAGAAAAAAAAAAAAAAAAAACCCTGAGAAAACAGACAAATTTATATCCAACATATTATGAAAGTGATGTCACAATATTTTTTCCACTAGAAAAAATTCTGCTCATTTTACATTAATTACAATACACTACATTAATACTTACAATGATAAGAATGTCAGGTTTAATATTAGGAATTTCAGCTGCCATTAAATGCCTATCTTCTTGTCTTGAGAAATCACCTGTGTACAAAAGCTATGAGAAAGGGAAAACAAGAAAGTCAGGATTAGGGGAAGGCTTCGTTTTGCTAGTGAATACATTAAGCTCATAAAATCTAAAAGTGCAGTTAAAAAAATAGCCTAGAAGTGCTGAAACGTAGATGCAATGCTTGTATCTAATGCAAAATGATAACTTAGGTAACCACCTCCAGTGGTTTGATTATTTAATCTAATTAATGGGGACAGCATATTCCCAGAATCATCCCACAAAAATGACCTATATTTTATTAAGAAACTTGAGAAACTTCTTAGAGAAAAAGGGCATGCTGATAAGGAAAGGAATTTAGTGAGGTACATGGGAACACGGTCTACATGGGAGATAAAATCATAAGAGAGTACAAGCCAAAGTCCAAATGAGAAATCAGATCTGCATTTGTACCGTATCTTGCTTATTTTTTGTTCCTTGGAACGAATTGCAAGAATTATAGTTTAATGATACACTGTACAACTCAATGTGTAAAAGTTTCAAATGTATAAGCAGCTATAAAACACTTAGGACAATATTAGAGTATTTGTTCTCAACTCTAGCTGCACTCTAGAATTACCAAGAAAACTCAAAAAGGCCAAGCCACACCTCGGATTCCGTTCAATAGATGCTTTTTAGAAGCTCCCTAAGTGATTCAAATGTGCAGCCTGAGTTCAGAACCGCTGCTCCAGAGTCTAGACACCTATCAGTCCACCCACCCACAAGTTCAGAAGTTTGTTAAGGCTGGCTACAATGACCTTTCCTAATTAACCTCCCTCACTCTTACAGCCCACTTTGCTAGGGGCTTATCTGTGAATTTCAAGCCATCAAAAGGACATGAATACTAAATTGTGCTTTAATTTTTTTTTTTTTGCAGTTTTTGGCCGGGGCTGGGTTTGAACACGCCACCTCTGGCATATGGGGCCAGCGCCCTACTCCTCTGAGCCACAAGTACTGCCCAATTGTGCTTTAATTTTAAATTGATGCAGCCACAAAGAGCTCTTCCCTAATAGGCTGCCTAAAGGACACTGAAAAGAAATTAATCCTATGGAGCCTGAGGGAACTTACTCTTTGAGATGCTCATTTTACTCTGTCTTGATGTAGAAAGTATTATAACGGCAGTAGGAATTACAATATTTAAAAGGAAAAGTATCAATCTCATTCTTATCTTATGTTTCAGTGTTTTGGCACTAGGTAAGTCTTAGGGAATTTTTATCTTAAATACTCCCCGATGGCACAAAGCTCTGCACTGATTTCTCTTGGGGAGAAAAGTGCCAGAGCCAGAGGTACCTTCACGCCCGCGATCTCAATCATAAACATGGCGGCTCCCAGGACATGGCCTGCGTGGTAACACCAAAACTTGATTCCTGCAACTTCCTTAACTTCATGAAAGTTGATAGTTTCAATCTTGTCCATGCTTTCTTCCAAATCTGTCTCAGTATACAGCATGTCGTCTGCTGATATGTTACTAAATTTTGAAAGATGCCAGCAAAAGGAATTAAGATTTTTTTAAGTCTTTGATGTCTGGGGATGATATATCCATGAAGATTTTCTTAAAAATATACTATATAAATTATGCTATTTAGAATCACTCAGATGTTTTGTGTAATTTTTTCTCTGTTTTAAGTGAATACCTACAAAATTGATTTTAAAAAGCAAAGCATACAGTAAATTAAGATACTAAGTTCAAAGAACTCTTAACTTTAAGTAATACACATAGTAAATTAGGACAAAATACCCAAATAGTATTTCTCAACCTTTGTTTTTGCCCCAACACTTCTGAGAGATATAACACATTCACATACACTGAACCGGGACAGAGATTTCTCAATGGGGATGTGAAAAGATTTTTCTACAAAGTCTACCATAACTTTTCTCCTAAAAATTATGTTAATGCAATTCCTAAAAAGCAAGAGAGAATAGTGGTTAAGGACACAGACTCTGGAGCCAGACTATTTGGGTTCGAATCCCAATTCTATCTTTTACTGTCACCATTTTAGGCAAATAAGGTAACCTCTCTGTGCCTCAGTTTCATGATCTGTAAAATGGAATTCATAACAGAACCTATATCAGGAGTTAGGGTTTAGATTTAATGGGTTAATGTATATCAAGAACTGAGGACTGTGCCTGGTGTCTGATAGGCATTATGTAAGTGTTAACCAGTGTTAATATTAGTAAGGATAACTAGCCCTTTGTGTTTATATTTAAAGAATAATAAATAGCATTTTAGCTACTCTTGGAATACATATATTAAGCTGTCATCTGTTGAAAGTTAATTTATGCTGTAGGCATCATACAAACATTCCAAACTTTTTGTTAGAGGTGTGGATATTCCTCTTAGAGCGAGTAAGAACTCCCCTAGGGAACTTTTTCACTTAAGACAGTTAATTTAATTTTCTCTGATCAAATAATCCAAAATAAGAATTCAATATATACTGCTGAATAATGCATTTAGTTTTAAATTTTTTAAAAATTACGAAATCCTATTTAGACTATTTCTATCATAAAGTTCACGTAAGTTTGACAAAGATTGAAAAGAATATAAAAATTACATGAAGACTTCAGTCAGGAACATGCTAGACACAAAATGGGCATTTAATGACTTTGTTAATGAATTAATAATTCATTGACATTCTTGTGAACAAAAAGAGAGCACTTTATTTTAAAACAAAATATTCAACATAAGGAGCAGGATTCTAAAATTAAAAAACACAATAAAAACACAAAATGGGCAGCTTGGCACCTGTGGCTCAAGTGGCTAAGGCGCCAGCCATATATACCTAAGGTGGAGGGTTCGAATCCAGCCCAGGCTTGCCAAAACAACAATGATGGCTGTAACCAAAAAATAGCCAGGTGCTGTGGCGGGCGCCTGTGGTCCCAGCTACTTGGGAGGCTGAGGCAGGAGACTCACTTGAGCCCAGGAGTT